TTTAAGTTGGACATCAGGAGGCGCTACTTCACGGTCAGGGAGGCTAGTGTCTGGAACCAGCTTCCAAGTGAGGTGGTGCAGGCTCCCACCCTGGGGGTTTTTAAGAGGAGGTTGGATGACCACCTTACTGGGGTCGTTTGACCCCAGTACTCTTTCCTGCCATGGCAGGGGGTCGGACTAGGTGATCTGCTCAGGTCCCTTCCAACCCTAGAAACTATGAAACTATGAAACATCCAGACTTGATTTGCAGTGACCTTTGTCCATCACTGTTATTAAAATGCGTGACAAAAGTATTAACTAATAAATATGCATTTTCTGGGACAGTGGAGAATGTATCAGTAATCACATGAATATCTGCTGATGAACTACATTTCTTCAAGAATGAATTTTGTATTTTCTCAGTGAAACATTGTTTATTTATGTGTGTTGTCCCCCCTCCAAGAATTCTAGGAAACCGAGTGGCAGAGCTGGAGAAGAAATTAAGGACATTGGAAATTTCTGGTTTGTGGAGTCTTCCAGGTTAGTAAAAAATCAGGAAAGCAACTTCTTCAATTTAAAAGAAACTCCTTGAGTATGAATTCTATGATAAACTTGCAAACGTGTTTGTTTTTAAATGTGACCATTGGTTTTGAAAAGTATTCAACACACTTGGAAAATCAAGCCCTTTGACTGCAAGTCTTTTGGGCACCCAAAATGCCTAGTCATTCCTAAAAATTCTTACTTCATATATCATTCTAATTTATAGCTATTGGATATAATAGAAAAAAATCATTTTGAACACATGAAATAGTCAAATTATTGCTATAGTTTGATGCTGAAAAGTATTAAACTGATTTAAGCTTCTTGTATAAACTGATTATAGCAATGATTTTCTGCAAGGTTTATTTATTGTGTACTTGTTTTCAGTAACTAAAGTAACCTTGTATTACTTGCAGCATTTGTTGATAATTTCTATAGAATTTTGTAAACTGAGAAACTGAAAATGTAAGGGATCTTAGGATTTTTGTGCGTGATATCTTCCAACCATGTAGTTGGTCCAGTATAAGATATCACCCAGGAAAATCCTTGCCTCTTGCATAGCTCCTGGACCATCATGGCCACAGCAGTACCCTTAACACTACCACAGGGATCTTAAATGGTCTAGTCCATATCTCTGCCAGAACAGAACATTTTCTTAATATTTTTTTGGCTTTAAATTACTTAAGTAGAGGGAGATTTAAGCTATTGCTTAGTAGTAGGCTGGCTTGTTTGGAAAATGTTCAGTACTGAACTTTTATTTATTTTCCTCCCAATACATCTAGCTATGTCTTGTTTTAACCACTGTGAATGATTCCACTTTCTCCCTGGTGTTTGCACCATTCGGCTACTTTTGCCTAGTTTCCCACATTTGCTACCACGTGCAGGAACTAATATAAACAAAGCTACAGGAGTTTTAGCATTGTCAGTTAGGTCAAAACTTTTCACAAAATTTAAATAGTCAGCAATTTATCTGAAGAGTCCTGGTAACAAACCTAGTCAGTTCAACTCCAAGTTCTGGTTTTCCCATGTCTTCTTGATGGGAGATGCCAATGTAATATTTATACTGGAACTTTGTATTACAGGTTAACATGCTAATAGAAATATCATGTAAACTTTAACCTGTTCAAATTCAACCTGTTGGTGCTTTTTACATTCTTTCAAAAATAGGGTTCATTGACATTTGTAGCTTAATAAATGCAGCATTTTAACTTTTGTGAAAGTATAAAGAGTAAAATAGAACAATTGGGACACTGAGAATGTCTTGCTTCATTGTTGGTCTATTTAGGTAAGATCTCAAATTAATATTTATACAATAACAACTGTCTCTTTCCTTCCTTTCTTTTGCTGCCTGAAGGCCTGAGCTACAATGTCTCAGTGGGATTTGGGAGTAGGTTCTGCTTGACGTGTATATTTTTAGTAACTAATTTTAGCAGTACGTTACATATTGTCACTGCATGTAAATAAATGGAAATGTTATCTGAACATTTTTATATCTGTCAGATTAAGATGCTCAACTGAGTGAGTTAGATGGCCACAAGGGAAATAGAGAGTGCTGTGCAAGGCAGTTCTTTTAAATTGAGGAAAATGGTAATGAAGGATGATACTAAATAGTTGTAACTGAATTTTATACTGGATTAGTAGTTCTGATGAACGGTGGGGTTTACTTCTGGATTTAACCAGACCAGTAAATCAGGACCATACTTTTGTTTGTGATCTACCTTAAATTTTCAACAGGAGTATTCTTGTCAGAGGATTGTAAACTGGTTTCTGCTCTGTCAAACAATGCCCAATTTTCAAATGTGGTTGGGACTATCATAATAGACCCAGAGGCTGAATATGAGTTTAGGTGAGTGAGTGGTGGAGGCCTTAGAGCACCTAATCTCATTTATGCTAGAGTTCAAACAAAAAATAATCACTTAATTTGCAGTGAGTTGATTTTTTTTTGCAAGTGTAAAGACTTGCTGAGGAAAACTGATTTTTCAATAATGCTTAGGGGAGGCTACGTCTATGTTGCCTCCTCACTGAGCCTGCTCTCCAGAAAAGGCCCCTCCACTTCACCCACACAGAAGTGCAGCAAATGGTCCTGGGCTTGGTAGGGAGGCCCATCGACCTGGCTAGAGCTGCCCATCAGTCTAGATCAGTTTCAGGTGGTGACTGCTAGGAGCACTACCAATAGAACATCTTTTTTCACCACTCCCATCACTGCTATTGGAACATCTTCCAAGTATTTAAAAATAGAAGTACCATATTTTCTTGCCTATAACCTGCACCTTTCCAGCCAAAGGCAGCTGGGGAAAATTGGGGAGGCATTAAATATGAGAAAAAGGGATCCCCTCCGGTCCAGAAGTTTAGTAGGGGTGGGAGGGCAGGGCAGAGTGACAGCAGTGATAATTGCTGCAGCTCTGGAAGTCATGACAATTAACACTGCCACTGCTTCCTTCTCTGTCCCCCAGCCACTAAATTTCTGGACCTAGGGATCTACTAAATACGTGGTGGAAGTGGGCTGCGCAGCAGCTCCTTTAGTCTTGCAGGTTCCCCCATGCAGCCCCCTCCTCCCCATTGCTGATTGGCTGAGGGACCCTGGTGGCCCTGCTGCTTGTTACTGACTGGCCAGGAGGCAAAAACGGTTCCATGATTAAAATGACTGTTTACGCCTTCCTGCTGATTATTGAGTGAGTGGCAGGGCCCCTCTAGCAGTCAGTGAGGGAGAAGGGGGTGTTGCACAGGGGACCCTGCAAGAATAAAGAAGCTGGTGTGCAACCCACTTCCTCTGTGAAGTCAGTAGGTCTCTACCTATGGAGGATCTTCTACCCCATCCATGCAACACATCAGGCCAGTGCATAGGGTTGGTCCATGGCCAGAGCCAGTGTGCCGAGTCTGACCTGACACACAACCCTGGACCTGATGTGCCAGGTCCAGTCCGGAGCCACGTGTCAAGTTGGACTTGGCATACCAAGTCTAGGACCACTTGTATGCTGGCTCTACAGCCGAGTGTTGGGTCGGACCCAAAATATGTCTCCAGAGCCAGCATGCAGCCTTGGACTTGGTGGGTAGTCTTGGAGCCAGGATATGGGGGTCACACCTGGCACATGGGTGGTCCCAGACACAGCATGCTGTCAGGGTGCACAGCCTCTGACCTGCCATGCAGCCCTAGACCTGTTGTGCTAGATTGGGCTCACTGTGCAGCCCCAGGCCAGGTCCCTAGTCCCCATCTGATCCATGGAGTTGACAACAGGCTCCCTAGCTGTGGCTACTCAGATATTTACCTAAGGCAAGATCTTTTTTTCTTCATGATACCTTTTAAAAATAGGGTACATATTTAAAAATATTTTTAAAATAAGGTGAATATAACACCCTATAAAAGTAGGGTGTTATATTCAGAGTGGGTTATATGCAAGAACATATGGTAATATTTGCTTCCTCCTTAAGTCATCCTATAGTTGAACTAGCTTGACAAATTGTAGATGTTTTGATTGCTACCTTGTATGTAACGAATGAAAGAAATGTGGGTAATGAACAGCAAGAGTTTTGTGCTTTTTTTAGAAGTGGCTCAGGCCCTGGGAAGGTTTTGCCCTCTGCAATTATAGGTCTCCCTTTGTGGCTGATGGTTTCATTGTACTAGTGGAAATTGACTGGTCATGAGGACATGGTTTTACATAGACAGGTCTTGGGCACTAATTTTTTTCAGATCCCATTAATATGAGCTCATCTTCATTGAGGATGAAACAAAGAATATACTGTTTCAGTATTCTAGGAGCCTTTATTTGCTGCCTAGGTACTGGAGTGATGGGTTCACTAGACAAATATGCATAGAAAGTGTCAGTCTAGTTCTCTTAGACATTAGTGTAATTGGATACTTCATTGCAGCTTTATTTACTGTGCTCTGAAATACTAATTCCCACTGCAAAAGAATTGAGCAGAAAAGAAAAATCATTTTGAACAGCATTTCTTCTTGTGACCACAGGAAATGCTGCAGATGCTTTTGTTTCTAAACAGTCATTAACTTAGGCCAGTTGAGAAGCAACATTGATATTCTCTGCAGGTGCTTGGTACACAGGTGGTGGCCGTTATGGGACCCTTTCTAGAAGAGGTATTTAAATGCAGGCAAAAATTTGAGAGGGATCAACCAGGTTACACTTGGGGAAAACAATATTCCTCTGGTGAAAGGAACAAATTAGCTTATTTTTCTACCTTACAGTTTCTCATTCACTTGCCCATACATTTTTAACTGAACCCCCGCACCCCCAAGAGGTTCACTAATGGACTGTGCACATTCCAAGAACTGTGCTGAGCAGTGTAGCTTCCAGAGGTAACCTGGTTCAGTCAATTCAGGTTTCATTAGTATACCCCAATCATGAATCACTGTTGCAATATATAAATAATACCACTTGGGCCAGTGAAACAATACTACTTTAATGATAGATGGCAATCTAACCAGTACATGTGTAACCAGTTAGTTTCAAAGTAAAATGTTGTGAAAGTGAGTGTGTAATTGCTGGTGCAAGTCAACACTTTTTATCATTTAATATATGAATTGGAAGCCACAAGAGTTGCAGGCCTACATTTACTTTCTTGCTTCTGAGATGATTTTGCGAGGTATTTAGCACAAATAGCTCCTCTGGCATCTACTTTCTTCAGGCTGAAAATTACCCTTTCCATCCTTTAATCTCACTGGTGATTTAATCACTTCTCTCCTGTCACATAGATCTTCCATGTGTACTGCTCCTCTTCCTACCAGCACTGCCCCTTTGACATTGACCTTGTGCCCATCTCTTTGCATAGTCTTGCTACTGTCATGGGAAACTAGGTGTCTTTTTTCCCTCTTCAGCTTTTGTCATTTGGAGAAGCCCTCAAATTTTTAGCTAAAAATGTCTCCTTTTGGCTTTACATTAGAGTTTCTCACTCGGCTATTTGTTAATTAACTGCTTAATTGTATTATGTGCTATAGAAGAAGCAGAGTGCAGATGCAAATTCAGTTGAAGCTGGTTTTCTAATATCCTGACAGCATCAAAGTGTCTCAAGAATTATTTATTTGTATTACTGCCACACATGTACCTCAGCAATGTCAGAGACTCATTGTATCAGGCAGTAGAAAGACAGGGAAAAGTCCTGTCCCCAAACACGTACAGCCAAGATTGGTAAACATGACTAGAAATGTTAGGGTTCTAACTCAAGACACTTCAAAGCAGGGGGGCAAAATACGGCCCACAGATTGGATCCAACCCACCAGGCACTTTCATCCAGCTCATGGCACCGAACAACTAATTGTACCCCACCCACCTCTTCTGCCCACAGGGGTGGGAGTGAGGCGCCCATGTAAACATCCCCTCTGCCAACATACCCAATTGTGCCTCGCTCCCACCCTTGTGAGTGGAAGGCCGTAGCCCGGCTAGCGTGCTGCTTCTGGATGGGGCTGCTGCTGCAGTTGGCGAGGGACCTGCTCAGCTTCCCTGGCATCCCACTCGCTCCAGGCACCAGGTAGGGAAGTAGTGGGGGTGAGGGGGAACTGCAGCTGGGTGGGAGCATGGGGCTGCAGCTGGTGGCAATAGGGAGCCTGCACCTAGCGGGGCGGTGGCAGCACAGAGCTTGGGTGGGCAGGCTGTGGGTGTGAGGGAGGTATGGGGAGGGATGTGGGAACGCCCTCCACACACTGCCCATTGCACAGAGCTCTGGCAGGCAGCAGCGGTAGCAACAGCAGGCAGAGGCGCTCTACCCGCTGCACATCTGCATCCCCCACACTCGTGCGGCACTGGAGGGAAGCTCCATGCAGTGTTGTATGTGGCATTTGTAGGGTATGGGGGGGTATAGAGACCCCCTCCATACTTGTGGCATGGTGCAGCAGCAGCGGGGGGGCACTCGGAGAGTTCGTGCCTGGCATGAGCACAAGCTCCACGAGCACCTCCGCCTGCTGTTGCTGCGCCATGGGGAAGTGTGGAGGGGGTCCCTACCCCCCACCCTCCCTCACATCCCACAAATGCCACACACTCATACACTGCCCTCACAACCTCCCCCACATATACGCCCCCACACACACAGCCACACCCCCTCAACTGCCGCACCACCCCAACCACGCCTCCACGCACTATACAAGACTAAGAGTTTATTTTTGAGTTATGCAGTCACCTCTATATTTGGTACACAAACACAAATCATGACAAAATATTTTTTGTATTAAAATTAAAATATGTTATAGTAAGTGTTTGACTTCTCGTGTATGATTTGTTGTTTTTCTGGTTCTAAGATGTAACCCCCCTCCCAAAAGGAGTAGGGAAAGGGGGAGGAACTTCTGGTGGCAAATGTCAGGGGCCTGGGGGCAGGACTTCCAGTCCCAAGATGATGACCAGGCAGTGGAACAACTGTCAAGGGGCAGGGCTACCCTTGTTGTCCTCAAAAACTTACCAAACCTCCACCCCAAATAATTGCCCGCCCCTGCTTTAAAGGATGAGAGCTTTGGAGGGGAGGCTGATTTCAGGCTGAGCCAAAAATTGAGGACCCCAAAATCACTAGTCCCTCCGGGAAACCCCTAGTCTTGATTTAAGACTCCCATGGTTTAAGATCTCGGTTTAAGACAGGTTGCGGAGTATGTCAAAGCTAATTTGAATGTACAGAGTAATGTTGGTACTAACTTGTGGTCTTATGTGTTTAATAGAGGTGAGTAGAACAGTGGTAATTGTTTTAGCAAACCATCGTACCAGATGTTATTTGTCAGCTGGTATTGTCCTTTAGAATGCCACAGTCATTTGAGCTTGCAAATGTGTGCTATTTCCAGTTTGTCCTAGTGTCTTTCCTGATGACCTCTAAGTGCCTTGCATGGTAGAAGGCATGTGAGGTAAGCTGTTGTAGTTTACTTTCACATTGCCATGGAATCTAAAGCCCCTGCTAGCTAGTCATATACAACAGAGTGCCTGGCCTGAAGAGTTTAGTTCACAAGATTTCATCCACCAAGGAATGAGGTAATTTACTCCTTTCCAGCTGGATTCGAACTAAAATGCACATAAATGAATTTGGCTCAGTGGATTAAACACTTCTAGTCCCCTTTCCCTGCAGTATCAATGTTTGTGTTTGCTGCCCCAATTCTGGGCCATCTCTTAAACTACTTTTTTTTGAAAGAACTTTGGGATAAAATTTTCATAAAGAATAATGCACAAAATTGCATTTGTAATAAGGGAGGTTTTGGCAATGAAAGTGGGATGTAGAGGGTGCAGGGTCAGTGCTGAATACTTGTTGGTAATGGTGTGCTACTCAAGTCTAAATGCAAATGATCTCTGTATTAGCATAAAGCTTTAATCTAAAAATACTTTTTGCATCACATAGATATGATCTGATTACAGCTGAACACAAAAACTGGTAGCCTTTCAACAAATTAGAGAACTGTCCTCTACCCAGCAGTGTTGATAGAAATATGACCTTTTTTATATTTGACTTGTGCAGTTCAGTTGCAGTTTATTGCCTATCTAACTTTCTGTACTGAACTTTCTGTATTGACAGGTATCACTGTACTTTTTAATAGGAAAAAATAGTTAAATTTTAAGATGTACTTAAATGACACCAAACTCATTGGTGAACATACAGTTTAGTTGGTGGTTTAATGTTTCCAATGCTTGCTTTTTAGGCGGAAAGGATACTATCACATTCAGTGATCCAACCCTGCCTGTTATACAGCGGTCAAGATCACCATTAACATTCACTGGCAAGCCACCACAGAATGAAGCACAGAGGCATGAAGGTGAGCATCTGGGGTATAGAGGAACGTTGTGCTCATAGACTGTTCCCCTTTCATCTTATACTTGGCAGTCATAAAATAAAAATGACTGCCAAGTTTTCATGCCTGTATAGCAGAAGGTAAAGATTCAATAAGCCTAAAGGACTGAATGAACCAACCACAGGTAAAAGGAGGTGGATCATCCCAGTAAAAATGCCAGTATAGGTACTAAAAAATGACTGTCTAATGGATGCACAGTGCTAGAGAAATGGTAAAGCAATGTCACTGATGCTACAAAATGAGATGTGTGTTACTAGCTTCCTTCTATTCTTCCTCTTCTGTGACAATGAACTGCAGGTAAGCAGACTATGGAACTGGCTTGGAACTCTCCTGTATTACACCTGATCTCTGGATGAAAGGCTTCCTGATTGTAAATGGAAATAAACTCCTCTCACTGATTCTTCTTTTATAGATCTATATGCATGTTGATAAAGCTTTTGATTGAAAAGGCTTTTAACATTTTTTCACGAGTCTGTCCCAGCTCTATTTGATACCAAGCAGCACGCCAATATTTTAATTGACACACTAAATTTTCTTTAGTTTTATTTTTTTGTGCTGATGGGAAATGGCTTTTGATAGTCGCCTATCAACATTTGAATAAGCTATTTAATGGCCATGAGATCTTTGGTATGCCCAGATCTTATTCAGCCAATCATGACGGTTCATAAATGCTTTATTGTGCTAATTCTTCAAACTAAATAGATCATGGTTTCATTTTGACTTTATTATCCATGTCATCATCTGATAAAGTTTGACAGCAAGATTGATCATTTTTATAATCTTGATCAGCTGATATTTTTTTGCTAAAATAACTGTATTTAAATATTCCTGTATTGAAAAGTAGTAACTTTATAAATATTCATTTTTGTTTTGAGCACTTAATCATTCTGTTCTAATTAATTCTTTAAGCGCTGTATTCAGTATTTGGTTTGTAGCATGATATTGTCTTTGCCTTCCCTATTTGACATAGCATGCAGTTGGTAGTATTATCTAGTAGTAGGCTTGGCAAAATTTGATTTTTAAAAAACATAATTTTGACAGATGATATCAATTTCTATTTTAAGCATTTATTCTGGGTTTTTTTGTTGATTTTAAATTTTCAGTATTGCGTGATATTAAGTGGGGATTGATATTAAGTGGGGATTGCGTGATATTAAGGGGGATGGTTAGGAAGGCCAAGGCAGAGATGGAACAGAGGCTGGCTTCCCGGATTAAGGACAACAAGAAGTCCTTTTTTAAGTACATAGGGAGTAGAAAGAAGGCCCCAGGAAATGTGGGGCCCTTGCAGGACAAGACGGGGAATCTGGTTGTCACGCCAGACGACAAAGCCAACATATTTAATAACTTCTTTGCCTCTGTCTTCCTCAGTAAGGACCAGAACTGCCACCTCCCTGCTGGGCCCCCTT